CATTGGCAGAAGTAGGACCACAAGTCCTTAACTTTTGTCTGTATGCTAGGATGCTCTTTTGTTATTTTTAAGTCCAGAGTAGACATTGTCCAACTGAATCATCTTACTGAAGTTATAGAATAAGAAACTTAGTCATAGATGAGAGTCCATGTAGTTACTGAGGAATTTCACTTTTATAGATTTCCAAAATGTGGTAAAACTAAACTCATCAAGAAACAAAAATATACCCAATAGCGGATGAGCTTGGGCAAAGCCATGGTAACTATTTTGCAGGTGGATTAGATGCTAAGACTTTATGGACTTTATGTGATTTTCCTTGGAGACTTTTAGAGTAGGCTTCTGAAGCAATGTAGATTATAGATGAGTGGGGCTAAAGCAAAAGGGCTGCAGTAGCCTTTGGTTCCATTGACTCTTAATTACTGGCATTTGTAACCCTTCTACAACTATTATGTTCCTTTGACTCCTTGACACTTACATTAAAAATGCACATGATACAATCTGCTTTGTAAGATAATGCTAAGCTATGACTGCTATCCTAATCTCAAGATAAAACATTTTAAGTTCCACACATTTTTGTACTGGGTAGAATCATCATATGTGGTTTCCAATAGAGCGAGACATTTACTTCTTAATAATAATGGTCACTTACCAAGTACAGAGCCCCGTTCTGTGGTTGTGAGATGATGACACCATTGATTCATGGCCCTATGGCAACAGTGGGAAAACGATTGTGAATAATGAAGGACAACTGATTCTTATTCCATGGCTTTGTGGAATCTGGTAATATTGGAAGTGATGGAAAAACCTAAATGGTTATTATCTATTTCCTAAAAACAGTGAATGTAATACTGTGAAGATATGTGGTTGTGTATGCAGAGAGGCTGAGATTATTTCCAGAGTGTTCTGTGTCTAGGTTATGCATATGTGCTTTGTTCCGCTCATCTTTACACCTGCTGCTTTGCGTTTTCATCACTTTTGAAACTTCTTGGTATAAAGGCAGAAATGAAAAGAGAGAACATCTATACAACTTCATTCCTTTTAATCGGTTCTTTAAAAAAAAAGTTTAGTATTTCATTATTTAAAGAGTACCCTATACAGATCAGCTATTGTCTCTGGATCCTAATTACCTCGAGCCCCGGCTGAATGTTATAGTCAGGACTGTTTGAGAAATGATAAATTATCTCTGCCTCCTTCACCCAACGTGGTTAATTTCTTATTGTATAGTCATTTTTGTGTTGTTGACCTATTTTAAGGTCATATCAAAAAGGGCTTGTCCATATTTGCACTTTTCTGAGAAGATCCATTGCTTTCACCCCATACTAAAACAAAAATTTAAAAATAATATTTAAAATTTAATTATTTAAAATTTAAAAAATATTAATAATATGAAAATAATAATAACAATATTCTTTTCAGAAATCAATATCTCAAACTAAATTGAGGACATTGGAAAATATACTTTCTATGCCTTTCTAGATTTTAAGCAACCAAACATTGCAAACTTTATTTCTTCCTGAAAAAGTTTCCCCTAGCACTTGGCAACTGTCCTTTTCATAAGTGCTGTTTCATGGATAAATTTTAGAATTGAATGAAGCTGGGCTTAATTCCTTGGGCCCCATTAGAAACTCGGGCTCCACACTGACCTCCTTCGGGCAAAATAAATTTATTTAGTAGAACGACATCCATTTACTTAACCAATTTATTTAGTCTCCTTTCGCACTCAAACTTTTAACCAACTCTAAAATAAGTAGAACATTACTGATGGATTCAAATTATCTTCAAATCATCCCTGAGTAAAAAGGAAGAGTAAAAATGAGTCTCCCAGTTATAAACAAGTGTAGATAACTGAAGAGACAGATCATCCACAGTTTAACTTTTTTACAGAGGTCCCTTCCTGGTATGATTTCCACCATAACAGAATAACAGAAGTTATTTAAAAAGGAGAAGTATACAGGGTCTCTATGATATAACTCTTGTCTGTAAAGAGAAATCTAAATGAGAAATAAATGCATGAAAAATATTAAGCAACTCACATGTTGGGTGGGAAAGAAAAAATAAAGCACGCTATGGTAGCATTCCTACATGGTTTGAACTCTCCGAGAATCAGGCCCCAACACAGAATGGAATGGAACATCAAGAAGATGTTATCTGAAGGGTTCTTGGGTGGCTCAGTGGGTTAAACCTTCTGCCTTCAGCTCAGGTCATGGTCTCAGGGTCCTAGGATCAAGCCCTGTGTCTGGCTTTCTGCTCAGTGGGGAGCCTGCTTCCCCCCTCTCTCTGCCTACTTGTGGTCTCCCTCTGTCAAATAAATAAATAAGGCTTTTTTAAAAACCTTAAAAAAAAAAAGAAGAAGAAGAAGAAGAAGAAGAAGTGGTAGTAGTTATCTGAAGGGCCCTCAGAATGTATTTCACCAACTGCTAGATTAGAATCACCCCACTAGGTAGTATTTTAAAAAGTCACCAAGCTGTATTAGCAAAGTAATTACCAAGATTAGCAAGTACTATGGCAGTGTTACCAACCTCTTTTCTTTAAAACATGAAATATTTTCTTTAATGGTAATTGTGCCTTCAGTGTATGGGGCCATATATGTTTAGGTGGATTTTAATGGCTACAGAGAAAATGTCTACTATTAACAAGAGAGTTAATATATCCATCCCATTAATGAAAATACCATCAGTAGTTAATCAGAGAGTGAGTATAAACAAAGTCAGGATTTTGCTGTAGAAAAGCAAACACAAAACAGCTAAGCTTGTGATTTCTGCATTCTGTATCTGTTTTTGTTTTTTTCGCAATGTTCCTTTTTTGTTTGTTTGTTTGTTTGTTTGTTTTAAGCTCTGTTAGCCATTACTGGTCATTCCAAGGTGTCTAGGATCAGAGAGCAGGGGCCCAGACAAGTTTGTAAGAGCCCCCAGCCCTCTTAGCATGAATACATCACCCCCAGACTCACTGGGCAGCTACTGATTTCCCAGGACCATTTTAATCCTCCCTAAAATGCTCCCATGGTTTCTGGAATTCCCTTGGCTTTCAGAGAAGTTGGAGCTATAATTCTCAATGCTTGCTATACATCAGAATCCCCAAGGGAGCTTTAAAAAAAATACAGGTAGTTGGGTACTGCCCCCCAAAATTTCTGCTTCACTCACTCTGTGGTAGGACCCGCATTACATGGTTTCTGGGCGATGCTCGGGTAGTTCTGGGTGCACACAGGGCTGGAGATCACTAGTCTACTAGCCTAGCTTGACAGATCCCAAGTGTAAGGATTTGGGAGTAACTTCAGGAACTATAAGAACACCACACTCTATTAACTATACAAATGGTATCAGAATAATCTGAAAGAGTTTACCCTCGCTGTGTCTGAGATTTCTAAATCTGGCAAGCACATAGGATATTACTCAGAAACAGTCTCATTAAGGATTTGATTAGCCTGCCAAGAAATGCTTGACCACATACAAACCATGACAGGGTCTGATCCCAACAGATGTCCTTGTAAGCACCTGTTGAAGTGAACTCTGCCACCGGCCCTTTAAATGGGATGGAGTTTTAATTTTCCAAAGTAGTGGACCAGTTGGAATGCTAGAAATGCACATTTGCTGCTTATGTCCCATTCTAGTAAACCATCTCCAGAATCGCTATGCCAATCTTTTGACTGTGTGCTTAACAAGAGAAGTCTACAACGCCATCAGGATTGGCCAGCAGCCTCGTTTATGGAGGTTCATTAGAGGGAGTGCATGGCTCAGAACCAGCCAATAATGAACATGAGGTTGTTTGTACCCTCTCATGAGTCTGTCAAGAATTGCTTAAAACCACAACTGGGCTTGTAACTTGGGGAGAACGTCTAAAACCTCACCTAGAATGCTGTTTCACGTCTCTTCCAAGTGGAGACTCTAAATTTGTGTTGCATTACAAAGGAATAGCTAAAATGTTACACGGCTTAATGCCACACACGCCTGCGGGTGACTCTATCCCGAAACTGACAAACCAGCGGCGTTTGGATCATCCTCTTAAGCACATTCATCATATCTATCTATAGCGTAGACCGCATCGGGTACTGCCTGGCTGAAGGTCATGGGTTGCACAGAGCTATCCAGAGACTTCAGTTTGGAGACAGCTGAATTACTCGCTGACCTGACATGAGTGAGAGGGAGGGTCATCTTCACTGTTATGCCTTCCTGCCCTTTCTAAAAATAGTAGGGCCTTTAATAAGAAGATATTTTAAGCCTCTCATATTCACTTGTCTCATCAGGAGAAGCTTATTTTGGCCGCTTGTGTGTGTCAGATGTGCCTGGGGCAGAGCTAGACTTTGGAGCGTGATCTTTGCTCCTCCACACCACTCCTGTAAGACACTGGCAATCATAAAGGCACTGGGATAACCAGCTGAGAGGCAGTGGGTAAACATAAATGGAGGGGAGACACGTTTTAGGAAAGTGAATATGCTTCCGAAATCCTCCGTTTCAGACATTGGCACATCAGTCCTCTGCTTTTTGGATCTGTTCTAAAACCTGACTGTGATGCCTCTTCAGAGACCTCAATGATCTTGCTGCTCTTAGTAAATTCTGATAGGAGCCACTGCCAGCCTCCGGAAAAGAGAAACTCATGAGAAACTGCCCTCCCAAATCTGAACGGGAAAACCCAAACCAAGCAAAACCCCCAATCCCCAAACAAAACCAAAAAAGAACCAGCCCAACAATCCGGGCTCGCAAGAAGACGCGCAGGAAAGCCCTGAAATGTAACTCTTGATCTAGTGGCTGGATGTAGCGGTCACGTGACTGGCAGGTACCAGGTGCTCTGTCTTACTCTCCTTTGAAAGACAAGTGCAAATCTTGGTTATTCTGCACAACGGGGACCAAACACTTATGCTTGGGAGGAGACACAGACTCTAGAAGCAAGATGGAATTTGAGCAGGTAAACCCTGAGCCACAGTCCTGTCATTCCGCGTCGGTCGTGCGTGGTTCTCGTGTTTGCGCCTCTAAGAAATTTCCATTTTTTCGCATCAAAAAATCCAGATACGAAGCCGAAGCTGCTTTCTTCGCCAACCTGAAGCTGTCTGACTTCAACATCATCGACACCCTGGGAGTCGGAGGCTTCGGACGAGTGGAGCTGGTAGGTGATTCTCCTTTACGTGCTCAGGGGGGTCCCCTTCTCCCACATTTTTCCCTCTAGATTAAGATTTCTCTCTCGTCTCTCATCATTACTTATTACGGTTCCTGAATCGGTACCAAATGCTTTCACGTCAACATATCCGAGTCTGAAACAGGTACAGTGAGCTATATACTATGTAGCCCGTAGACAGATGACTAAAAAATAAAAAATTACTTTTTTAAAAAAACCTCCTCCTAGTAAATGAAAGGTAAACCTATTAACCTAACGAGGAGCCATAAAGCGCTTTTTATCCAGCTGGTATTCTGTGACCTCAACTTCCTTAGTTCTGAGCAGTTCTCATCCACTTAGTCACACACCTACCTACATGTCAATTTCAATACAGAGAGGAAATGGGATATGTATATATGTTATATGTAGACATTCAGACTATAATACACTATGTAATACATGTATATATACTTCATTTCCTTTATATATATATTTAAATTTACATTTTAATCCTTGTGGTTGTAGATCGGGTGCATGGATAAGTTAGAGAATATGGCTCAGAACTAGGGAAGTAAATAAATGAGTAAAATCTATCTGTATTTAATTAAAAATGTTTAATACTGCCTTAAAACTTTAAGAAAATGTAAATAATGTTGTAGTTAATTCTGTGATTCCATAGCAAGCACCAAGTTATAGTGACTATATATATATATATATACACACACACATATATATATATATAGTATATAGTATAGTATATAGTGTGTATATATCCATATTAGATAATATGGTGTGAATATTTCACACACATTTGTGTACACACACACAGGTTAAGTATTAATGAGGACAATGGGGACATTTGGTGCAAGTTTATTCATTCAACATATTGCATGAATGTGGTGCAAACCAAATGGAAGCATAGCATATTGGGCCTTTGAAATACAAGTTTAAGAACTGATCTGTTACATAGACCAGAAAAAAAAATGTATTCTGGTAACTGAGCTGCTGCACTGGGAGATGGTGTGGATATGACCCCAGTTCGAGAAGGCAGATTAATTTCCGCATCTCTGCTGAACCTGGAGGAACCCCTGACACCAGACACCAGTACAGTATGTTAGGAACTCCCTCTACAGTGCAGTAAACAGTTCCTGTTCCCATTGAGGACGAGAGAAATCCCCTGTCCTAAAACCAGATCAGCCCAGTGCTGGGTTTGGATGTTTGTGCATTTCTGCTGCAGCTGGGATTCCTGGCTTTTGACAGGCAGGAAAAATGCTGTTTATCTAAACATGAGGCAGGAAAATAACTAGACAGGAAAATTTCAAGCCATGATGGGTTTCGTTGAGTTGGCACTCTGCTTCCGGTGACACTGCTTGGACATGTTATCCGTTAGGCTGCCTCTGACATGACATCTGGCGTCATAGTGAGGATTTTCCGCTATTGGAGTACAGATCTGGAGACTAGGAAAAGTTGTTCTTCCGAAATCAGCCAGTCAACGCAGTGTTAGATTTCATTTTCAAGAACTTTGACTTTGTGAGAAAATCTAACTGCTCATGGAGGTAGTGAAGACTTATTACCAGTGTTGTCTTTGTCCAGGGGTGTTGGGGCACATAAACAGCTCAGGGGGCAGAGGTCCCTGCCAGGAAGAGCATATTGTCGGCTGCGTTTATTTACCTGCTTGCATGGGTTTCCATCCCTTTTTGAATGAAGAACTAAATGTGGACAGAACTCCCTAGAGGCTGATTTCATGACTTACAGTTTCTTAAATATCATTTTGTAAAGACTTTGGACAGCAAAATTATTGTTTTGTTTGACCAAGAAAAATTTTACATTAACCAATTTGTGGGTTCCTAAGGGTCCGAGGATATCAAGTTGGGGACCTTTAGGTTACCAGTAAGGTATTTTATGAAATAGAGGAGTTTACTCAGGATGTTTGAGATACTGAAAATTGCTCATACACTGAAACTACATCAAGCTGAAGAATTACATGCCAAGTTGACAGGGGAAAACTTCTAGAGACTTCTGTCAAAATGTTTCAGGAGGCACAAACAACTTACCAGAAAATTAGGGACGGCACAGCGTGGGCATATAAAAGGTGCCCATGTAAAACGTGGTTTAAAAAGACAAAAATACCTCTGTGTGTGTGTGTACACACAGGTGTATAAGCTCCATCGCAGGAGAGAGTCAGGGTAGTTCAGCCCAATTTTCTTCTCATGGATATTATATTTTACTCTTCCACACAGATGTTTATAGACTAACCAAAACCATCACCTCAGGAATTAATTTTAACTGGAGTCCAGTTTGCAAAAACATTAGATACCTGCAGGAATGATAAATCCATATTGGGCCGCTAGGCACAAGCCATACATTAGAAAAGAGGCACGTGGTTTTAACCTCTGAAGCCACATCTTCATGTCATGTGATTTTTGCCCTTGACCCAGAAACCCCTTGTGAAAATCAGAATACCCGGATTGTCTTCACTGTTGAGTGGGAGCTGGCCATTTAGGTGATGGCTCTTGCCCTACGATTCACCGTCTCCCATTCTTACCACTTACTCACTGCCTGAGACTCTTAACTATTGGGTATGAAAAATACTCTCCTCTGTGATTGTTTGTCGTACGTGTTCAGTGAGGCCAGAGCCGAGAGTCCGGCCTTAGCATACGGTCCTCGTGGCGAATAGTGAATTGCCACAAACCTGGGACAGGGGGCAGTAGAGAGCACCTTCAGGCCAGTACCCTCGCCTTTCACAGTGGGAAGAGGACCAGGCAGAGCCCTGTTCTGTTGTGATTATAGTCTTCAGTCTCCTCTGAAAATGATACGTGCAAGATCGTTATCAATATTATAGAGTGATATATTAAAAAGTCCTGCAGGACATTTATGGTTGAATTTCCCATATGTGTATGCACAGGACCGTACCAAGTATATAAAATGGATATGTTGAACCTACCAATCCTTAGTTCAGCAATGATGTTGATCAGGTAAATGAAATGATAAAAACCATAGGGCACTTTAATTTTATAATGGCATTTAAAATTTTATCCCAAGTATAGAAAATAGGATTATAAAACTCTTGAATTGGGTATGAAGAATTAAATTTGAGGTTGTTGAACCCCATTTCCTGGTAGGACTCAGGAGTTTTATTATCATTTGTTATACAGATTAGCTTCATGTTACTTTGCATAATTATATGCAAAAGTCTTCTTAGCGTGTCTTAAATTTTTATTGTTTATCTCAATTTGGGTGAATTTAGATGCCAGAAGATTTCTCAGGCAGGACTATTACTAAATAGTTCATTGCCAACTTTTGGAGAGGAGAATGCAATTTTGGCGCAGAACAGAAACTCACATCATTGTTCAGTGATGAGACCAGAAGCTTGAAGAACTGGTCTTATATGAATGGGAAATCTGCTCTGGAGCTATTAATTCTGTTTCATAAATACTTTTAGCAGAGCTGATTTTAATGAGTTGACTATCAGACATGTCCTATTCACAACTACTACCTCTGAGAAGTCATCCATACTGGGTTTGTTTTTTTCTTTTTCCTGTTATCTGGCAGAAACCATATTTTCTGACTATTCTTTTTTATTTTGAAGAATGAGATTTTTAATTTGCTCAGTGCTGCCTGTTTATCTTCCAGAAGACCACATTTCGTTTATAATAGCACTTTCAGCAAAAGAACTCATTTTTTAATAGATGATTCACTCATTAAAGCAGTAAGCACAACTCTAAGACACGATGGTAATCCCCTTAATTTGCAAGGTATGACTGCAGAATAAGGAGATTGATTCTACCACCACAGATGAAAACTAGTCGCATTGCTCTATGGTCACATTCTTGATTTACTTTTGCTCTCATCTGAGACATCCTTGCTTTTCAGAACAGATTTGCACAAATCAGCCTTTTTAATCTGGCAATGCTGATGTGGTTGCTTTAGATATTAGATATTTAATGGTTTTATCCAGCAATCCAATGCCTCCTAGACCAGAGCTCCATACTTGGATAAAATATAGGGATCAAGATCTGGAAGACATAATCTCTGTCTTCCCGGCTTATATCCTATTTCATTTGTTACATATTTATGTAGCAAGCTGCCTGCCGGGACATTCAGAGTCTAAGGTGAAACAGCCGCTGGGAAGGACACTCATGGGAATTAATAATCCAATAATCAAAGTACGAGCAGCATTTGCAGTGTTGGGCAGGAGGTGGCATCCTAAAACAGAGTTAGGGCATCTACAGAGATGACCTAAAGCATTACAGAACACTCCTGTAAAATGCAGCTACCGTGGGCTCGTTTACGGACCAACTGATACTAATCATATTTTTAAAATTGTGATGCCACTTCCTTACTAAAATAATCAGGCCTTGCATTTGAACCCTGCTCCATGACCTTCAAATTGGTCCACATCCAGCACATTATTTTACCTTTCTAGTTACTCTGGGAGCAGGAAATGAGACATGCTCTGCTTTTACTAGAAGGACATCACGGTTAATGCATATCGGTTGCCTAAGACCATGCAGTCAGTAAAAAGGCTCTTAAAGCCCAGAACTACTGATTTGGTTTTGTGTTTGTTTGTTTATTTCTAAGATTTCATTTATCTATTTGTCAGAGAGAGCTAGTGAAAGCAGGGAGAGCAGCAGAGGGAGAGGGAGAAGGAGGCTCCCCACTGAGCAGGGAGCCTGATGCAGGGCTTGATCCCAGGACCCTGAGATCATGACCTGAGCCGAAGGCAGAGGCTTTACCGACTGAGCACCCAGGTGTCCCTACTGATTTGTTTTCAACTGGAAACTTTTTCTATCATTTTGGTTAGATTCTTATCACACCAACAACAGCCACTGCAGTGACATCAAACAAATGTTGTCACATGTACAACCTTTGTTTAAAAAAGAAAATTCTAGAATTCAAGCACCTTTATTAGACCCAAATCTAGAATCACCACTGCGATAATCCACTGCTCACATCTCCTTCTGTTGAACCTTCAGAGAAGCGCTCCCTTCTCTGAATCTTTTGTCGTTCTT